GGGGGGGGTTAGGATGGCGGACGGGTGGTGATACAAACTGGGTCGAGATGGTTCTGCGTACCCGATTGAACTACTGCGAGTTTGCATGTCACCGATACGCGTGTTTGGGAGATTTACTTGCATGCCGTAGGCGCGGATGGTCGGGTATGTCGTTTACCCTTACTTTTCCTTTTTGCTGTGTACACGGGAAGTTGGAGTCGCCCCCATCTTGTCTCTCGTATTTTTGTTGGAATGGATGGTTGGGGGGCGGAAGGGGGTGAATCTTCCTTGCACCGCCAGACATGGTACGCACTGTAGGAAGCGGGGCTTACAAGTCTGAGTTACTACGTGGGTACATGCTACGTATTTTGATACGCTTGTTCTTCCTTCCAAATATCGGCAACCGACACGATACTCACCGCTTGTCGCGGCACATAGGTACGCAAAAGGTAATATCAAACTTGATAATAGCCACTTCATCCTTTGCCACTTTGATGAAGCAGTACACGTGCGGTTTTGTTGCCCACTTTAATTTCCACATGGACAGCATGGATGATGCTCCAGCGGAAGAGGAAGCGCCTATGTGTCAAGCAGCAAAGAGAGAGAAAAAAAAAGACGCAACTGCCTCAAACCAATTCGAGAGGGCCTTGCATGAATTAGAATTCAATCTGTCTCGTAAGTTTTTTGCTTCTTTTTCGTTTAGCAGCGATTCGCGCAAGCCAGTCATTGGGTAGTGAGCAAAAGAAGCGGCATGCATGTATGTCTGTGAGTGTGTGTGTGTGAAAAGCACGCAAGCACAACCTATGCACACACTCACTCACACACTCACACGCACCACACACACCCACTCACCCAACTCTAACACATGGTGGAGATACACGTGTACCTGGGCGTCGGGGTCACCTACATACAGTCCACTAGACACTTGCATCGAAAACGGGCCAGCATGCAGGTGTGTGGTGGCAAATAGGCAGTACGGCCCAAACGCAAAGACTGGTAGCGGATGCAACCAAAGAAGCCCACATATGCGACTGCTGCTGCGCGCGCCGCCCCCCGAGTAATGTCGTAACCTGTTTGACTTGCAGGCAGCGATCGCATGAGGCGTTACGAGCGGCTTTTGTGACAAAACAAAACCCCTACGTGTGCATGCAGTTACAATGTACGGTAACGAAAAGAGGAGAGGGGCGAAGGGCGAAGGGGTGGAGGGGTGGAGAGGGGGTGTCGCTGCACGAGTTCCAAAACGCTTCTGCAGCCTCATTCTTCATGTGTGCATGTGGTAAGTTTTCTTTCTCGCCTGGCTGTTTTCTTCTTTTCTTTTTTTCCGGGGAAGAGGGCCGAGGGGAAAAAAACGGCTGCACGTAACGAAGGGGGATTGCGTTAACGCACCAGACTAAAAGCAAGCAAGAGCAAAAGTGAAGCAAAGTATATAAAAAAAAAAGTGTGAGACTGTTCGTGGTGCGTCATCAGACACCACTTTGCTGGTCATAGCCAAAGCAAATATGACGAGCAGGTGCGCTGGGCCCCCCGTCGGCGGGGGAGCGGTTAGGCGGAAGGGAAGGCAACGGTTCGGAACGTGCGTTGCGCCCAAACAGTCGACCCAAAACTTACCATGCTTGCTTGGTTGCTCTTACGCATTCTTCTTTTCTTTTTCTCCATTCTTTCTTTCCGCCCTCGCAACCAAAGATGTGAGCTGCATGAAACAAGAAAAAGGCTTATCCTTTTGACCCTGCTTTTCAAACTCGACTAGGTTCTTTGCCAGTGGGGTGTGTGTGTGTGTGTGTGTGTGTGTGGATGTGCGTGTATGGGTGTCTAGAACATGGGGAAACTAAGTAGAGCGCACACGCGCATACATACATCCCCCCGCCTGGTCATCACGCATGCAAGACACACCCTCACACCCTCTTCTTCTTCTACTCACCTACATACACGGCTCGGTGACATGTGTGCGGGCGGGGAGTCCGGCAATTGGTCGATGCATACATCCCTCCTCAAAGCGCCCCCAAATCGTATCTTGCGACAAGACATTACATACACCCCAAAATAAAATTAAACCAAACAAGATAGCCAAGTCGAACAACCCCCCCCCCCCCCCCGACCCATGTCTGCCTTACAACAGCAATGTAAGCACCATTGACTCTGCATTTGGGGCTTAGCCTCAACCTTATTGATGATATCTCCATGTACGCTGTTTCTGCGAGTAAGATTGGCCAAAAAGGCAGATTGCAGATATGTGATGATTCGCAGCTGGCCTTACCATGACCCTACCAACACCCCCTCCCTTCTTCCTCTTCTCGGCAAAACACGGTTTGCCCGCGTTTCCGTTCCCGCGTTGCCCTTGTTGTAATAATCATATTACATGGTATGATAACTATGATGTATATACTTTTTCTCCCACCAACTAAACTTCTTCGGATCCCCCTTCCCCCCAAATCACACACGCTCTCACACCTCATTCGTGCAACGCGCGCTGAGTTCCGCTTTTGCGAAATCAAATTGGTAGTCACATGATGGATGTGCACATGCGGGTCCCTTAGCGATAGTAGACACACACACCCCCCAACGCCCCCTTACCCCAGTCCTCCTTCCCNCCCCCCTCCCCAAACCATGTGCTGACATGCATGAGGTGAAGTGTGTTGTGCTGCATGGCTTGCATGGTTGGGCTTCAAAGAAAAAAAAATCTCTATTTGGCCATAGGGGAAAGAGAAAAGGCGAAGCTAGACAGGGGTGCACCTTTTTGGCCCTTTTTGAGTTTTGGCGCTTGATTTTGCATGTGTGCAGCCAGAAAAGATGGGCGCCGCGAACCCGGTGCTTTGGGTCGGGGCGTTTTTTTTTGGTCTTTAGAGGAAAAGAGACGGAGAGAGAAAAGAAGAGGCAGGTGGTTGGGTTAGAGGGGGGGGGAGGGCGGAAGGAGGCTTGTTTGGCCTGGTGGACATGCAAAATACATTAAGTACATGGAGACGCAAGCGCCGTGCGTTTATGCATTCTTCGGGTCCGAACGGACATTTTGGCGGTTACTGAGGGTTGCAGCGCGCGCGCCCTTTTTTTCGGTGTGGGTGCGTGCATCGTTCGTTGGGGAGAGAGAACAAATAGTGCTTGTTTTTTGCCCATACCGAACTAGTCTTGCACACTTGGCAGAGACTATCTTGACAATCTTTCCTTTGTCAGCAATCGAGGTCCAGATTGTACATTCGACGTTTTGCATTATCATTTTTTCCCATCCCTTTGTCGTTGTTCGGAAGACATGGTTTGTTGTTGTTTGCATCATACGTGGCAATGCCGCGTACGTCTAGTGTACAATTGAAGGATTCTTCGACATGCCGGTGTGACCATCATGCTAAATTTCATACCATCAAATGTGCCAAAAAAAATACACACACGACATAATTCGATACCGCCATGTGTTTTAGAAAAACAAAAATTAAAAAAAAAATAATTAATCGTATCATCTTAAAAAGAACTATCCTATACCTAGAAACGCTCTAGACTTTACATATAGGTTACTATAGTATAAAAGAGAGAGAGAGAGAGAGAGAGAGAAAATATCTCATCATTGTGCAATGCTCCTGCATAGTCAGCACTTGATCTATGTTGCGCCGTTCTGGCGGATGTAGTTTTTTATCTCATCCCGAAAAGATTTCGGTCGAGCAAAAGAGAGACACGGCGGTATACACGGTAGCGTAGTTCGTCACAAAGTCACAGGGGAGAGCTGCGCTTATGCACGTATGCAATAGAATGACAAAAAAAGAAGAGGGGAAACAGGAAGGATGCGGGTATCGGCCCCGCAAGCCTGAGAGATTCTTCGAGGTATATTTTAGGGGTCCTAAGAAAAATCAACTGGGTTGATTGCATTGCATTGCATTGCAGCGCATCTCGGGTGTGCTGGAAAGTCATTTCCGTTCTGTTTGTAGATGGATCCAAGTAAACGTATCTAGTAAGTCTGTGTTTTTTCCTTTTCCCTTCCTTGCCCTCAAATTGTTTGCAGCTGAACAAAAAGAAAAAAGCCCCGATTGTGATTGTCGCGAGTGGCAAGGGCTGTCTTATGTGCGGGTTCCATCGCGGTTATAGAACCGATGCCGTGCGACATTCCGTAACTTTGCACCAGAGGCCGTGTCACCCACCCTTGCCATTCATCTTACAAGGTCGTTGACTCATGTGCAGATCTGATCGATCAATAGTAGTGTTCTGGCCTCTGGATCAACATGGCAAAAGAGCCGTGCAGCCAAAGCAAATATCGCGTGCAGGCGGAGCAGCGCGTGATAGGCGAGCAATCCACTGACAAACGACACTGGCGCACACAGTGTGGATAGAAGTTGTATGGTGATCATGGAAGCAATGCAGGGTGCATATACAGATATATACACGTGTCGAAAGTGGGCTGTCCGTGCGCATGTGATTTGCCGTCGGCCAGGTGCGACAAGCTATAGGGAGGTCACATATGTGTACCGTACATGACAAAACACTAGACGGTGCGAGTCATCTGAGAAAAACAAAACTATGAGATGCATAAGCTGTACTTTGCAATGAGGCAGGTCAACCGCCTGGTGCCCTGTAAAGCTATCGTGGGGCCTCTCGGTCCATCTCCGCGACGACGCAACATGTCATGGAGGAAAAGCATGAAAAAAAAAAGCACATCGGCAGATGTCCAAGAGCGTTTAGAGGGCATTGTGGTGCAAACCGAGCACACACCAATTCAGCATCCCCGTAAGTATGTCTCGCTGATCGGGCCGACGTCAGCAACCTGAGTTGGGGCAATTGAAGCGGGTAAAACAAAAGGATATGTAAGCAGGAAGGAGACATGAGCCGGGACCGCTGCGACGCATACGGTCTTACAGCCCTGTGAACCCACGGCAGAGGTAAACGGTAAGATTGGCCCGGAGATCCTACTCCAGGTTTCTGCTTGATTGGGCAAGTCACTAAACCAGGTTGCAGCGTGTCATCAACCCAACCCCAGTGCATCATTTACATACCCAGGGCGGCTCTTTCTCCTGTCCTGTTATCATGCAGAATTGCGGAATAATAGGCGGTTGGTGCGCGTTCATGTCTACACACGTACACTGTGCTATATCCTAGTTGGAACACGACCCTGAATCCCTGATGACATTTTCCCATCATGTACTACTACTATCCTAGTAGGAAAATGGTTAAAAGAAGGGAGGCTTATATGGAAAAGAAAAGAAAAAAGAAGCCGAAAAAGAAAGATACTTACATGCCCGCACAAGCATCGCGAGTCAAGGCTAGACCGATAGCGGGACAGGTAGCGAGGGCGGAAGACGGAAGGCGGATGTATGACGGCGAAAAATGATGTGTTTGGAGAGATGGCGGTGTAATGGCGGTTACGTGCGCTGCTCGGGGGCTCGGTTAGTCTAATGCTAAGGCCCGATGACGAGGGTTCGATCAGCGGAGGCATGTCGTGCATGGGCCGTAGCGGTACGTTGACGAGCCCACAAGTCCAGAGTCAGAGTCCAGAGCGTAAGCAGGATCGCGTTACGCACGTGAGATGGCATACGTCTTCCCGTTCCGTCATCCGGTATAGGGCTATTAGAGGGGTCATGGAGAAATCCGTAGCATTTGCACGAGTTTGGACCTGACAAGTTGTTCCCCCCCCTTCTCCAACGCAAGTGCCCCTAAGGCGCACAAGGCACAACATGGTCTAGTCAAAGAGCAGGGTGGGTGTTGGAAAATATGTAATGAGTTGACGCGTGCTAGCCCCCCTGTAGACTAAAGTGAGAGTTTGCGAAGGCGTCGCAGGTTCACTGTGTGTGTGTGTGTGTCAGTCATTAGCACGACAGCAGCATGTACATAGATAGTCGATATTGAGTGCAGCCACGGCCCAGGAGAGGGTGCAAGTGCAGTTCTGAGGATGCGAATGCGAACCAGGGCTTTGCAGAGCTGACACGTTGGACTGGGATTGCTGGAACGGCAAAGTTGTCATTGTCATTCGGACCGTTTGTCAACAGACAAAGTTGGAGCTACCAGGGCTGCTATGGTTGGGGGCTGAGATCCATTGCGACGAGTTGCAACTACGACGATGTTGGTCGTAGTTTGCGACAGGGATGTGCAGCCAGTAGACGGGACGAACGGAGATTTGTTGAAGGGGATGCTAGCAGCATGGAGCGAGTGGTGCTGATCTGATAATATCACCAGCCAAGATACACGCAGGTCATTCATCGGCGAGCAGGGACGCTATGATAGCGCACTTAAAGTTCCGGTCTGGCCATCTACTGAGCCGAGCAACAGACGCCCCACTGCCTGACGGACCACCCCGGAGTAGCCTCCGACGGGTACACTTGGGACGTCGTTGGCAGAGCTTTAAGGTTTGGCGAAGCATGCGCGCTTGGCCGGTTTCCAACGGCATGGTCAGGTGGCTTCTGACCGCTCTGGTGGTGGAGCGAGTTGTGTGTGCGTACTTAGTCAAGCTGAGGTGGTGGAGCGACGTGAAGTGGAGGGAAGCATGGCGCATGTCTAAGCAGACCGACGTACTATGTAGTGGTATTATGTATGTATGTACAGTACGCACGTTATGCGCATGATACACTGGAGCTGGGGCCCTCGGGACATGGATGGTGGCGATGGCGGCGATGGTGGCGAGGTTGGGTGGTGGGATGGTGGGATGGTGGGATGGTGAAGTGGTCAAGTGGTGAAGTGGGGAGGAGGTGGGGGATGAGGGGGGGGTGGCTTGTCTCTTCTGGAAGGGTCGAGGGAGAGAGAGTCGAGAGTCAAGAGAGCCGCCGTGGCCGTGTGACCGAAAGCAGTAATGTCAGGGTGCGGTCGGGCAGGCTCCGGGCCCAAGGCGGCATGGCGTCGAGGTGGACGAAGAACAGGCACTGGTTGGGGATACGGATGTCGTATGGCTGTGGTTCCTTGGACCTACCTAGTCCATCCTCTGATGCCATCTCCACACACGACTGACTTGTCGTGTACTAAGCCTCGCCGGCCTGTCCATGTCGGCATGTGTGCGCGTGTGTGTTTGCGAGCGGGAGAGGAGTCAGTGAGCCGCAAACTCTGACCGGACGTCGTCGGGGTAGGGCGACAGGCGACGGGAGAGGCCTAAACCCAGACAGAAAAAGTGAAGCCGTTGGTAGCGTGCCTGCCTGGCCCGATGCGTTCACTGTCATGCTCGATTCAGAGTTTACCTTGTGCCCACGACGAGTAAGAGTAGTCGCCGGCCTCGCTAGCTCTGCATTGCCTCGCCGTCTGTCACGCAACCCACACGTCTTCACCACCCTCTCTCGCCTTGCCGCCGCAACCGAACTTGTGCGTCAACCATTGCTTCCACGCCGAGACCCGCTCCGCACAGATGACTTTGTCCATGACAGACGCTCGTCAGGGGTTGGTGGTCAGCTCCCGTCCTCCAACCACGCCCTCTCCAGGCACCAGCCGCCATGCACATGCAATTCAGGCACAATCAGATCCACTCTAGCAGCAACAACAAATCGTATACAATTCTTTCCTCGCTCTGATGATGTGGTGATAATGATGCCAACATTGCCTGTGGAGGCCTGATAATCTAGATGCACTCTTGTAGTCGTCCAATAATTCAACATGTGTGAGAAAAGATTTCAAAAAAAACAAAAACAAAAAAAATAACTTGGTGGCGAGAAGACCAATGGGTATAACGCATATTAACGCCTGCAAAATTCCACAAGCTTGAAACAACCCCCCATGCAACAACAAACAGCCGCCTGCTATTCGCCCTGTTTGCTTACTGCGCCCGTCCCTTGGTCTGTTCAGACGCCCACGCGCGATGCTCATATCGACCCGCCTCTGCGCCAAACGAATCCCGGTACAGCGGTCGTTCTGGCGACGGGTGCTGAAGACCTGCCACCTGACCTGGCTGCCCTTGGGGCGATGTGTGAGTCGTCGGCCCATATCCCCCTAGCGGATACGCCCGACTGTCGTGGCTGGGCGAAGGACCGTCAACTTGATGAGAGCCCAGTGCCGGGTGGTAGCTGTTTGTCCTCCTTCGCACGTTGCGCTGTTCCTCCTCTCGGGACTCGTCGTCGTATCCGTCAAAAGACGCCTCGGAGCCATGTCCAGTCGTGCAAGACGGCGCTCGCGACGGATCGGCGGATGCGCGTCTCAGCCGAGGTGACTGAGGCCGGCCATGGTTCCTCTCGGGATGCGACTGCAATGCCAATGACCTCCAGTAATCACGCTCTTCACGGTAAAAGGCTGCATCCTCGTTGGCGTCGCGCACGCTTTGCTCCAGCCTTGAGATGCTCATCGAAGCCTCTCGTTCCTTCTCTTTTCGTCGGGCTCGGAAGCGAGCAGACGCACCGGCATTGCGCCTTCGCTTTTCGTCGGCGCCCTTGGACGCAGTCTGTGTTTCTACGGGGATTTGGCGAGGTGGTCCGTGCTGACTCTTAATGGTCATGAGCTGGATGCTGCTCTGGCTCGAAGGAGCCATGGCAATCATGCTAGTGCGGTCGCCATCAATTGACGAGGGCCCTTGGCGGGCATCGTGCATCACAATGCTTCCAGGACCATATTGTCCCTGGGTGCTGTGGTTGTCGTATTGGGTAGATGCCACCGAAGCCGGCTGGCTATATGGGGAGTACTGGGCAATGGGGCTTGCACTGCCCGACTGAGGAAAGCTTACATTGGGTCGGTGTACATCTGGGCGGCTCACGTTGGGGGGTGGGGTTGGAGCGGTGGGTGGAAAGTAGTGGGTTCGACCTGCGGCAGGTGGTGTAGGTAGAGCCGAGTGCTGCGGCATCACCACCTCGGATGGGCGTGTGCTTGCCGTCAAGAAGGGTGATTGTTGGGCGTCTATTGTGCCCGTGGGGGGATTGAGTCTGCTAATGGTGTGGTTCTTGATGCCTTTGTCATGCAGCGAGGGCCGCATCGGAGGTCTCCCTGGGGGCTGGAATAGCCTGGGGAGGTTTTGCTCTTCGCGGGTAGACAATACTGAGTCGACACTATTTGGTCGGCTAATGGACGGCAGACTCTGTGAGTGATGCGTGTCGACTGGAGATGACGATTCCAAGCGAGAAAGGCTACGTCTTGAGCCTTGTTGCTGCTGCTGCTCAGCCACTTCGGCCTGAGGGTTGAGGATAGAGTGAACGCCAAGGGAGCTGCCATTCCTGGCAGAGGGAGTGGGTGGTGTCATGGAAAGCTGACGCAGTGGCGGGAGTGAGACGGGAGGATTCGCTGGGGGCTCCCGTGGGCTCCTATATGGAGGATGCATTGGTGGATACGACTGGACGGGCGACATGTGCGGGGTGGTTGTTTGCTGGGTCCTTTGTGATTCAGTGGGTAGACTCGACGTAGTATAAACGTCGTCACAGCCCCCTTGGCCACCCCGCGGCAACCATGAGCGTTCTGACTTGAGGTCGTTGGTATATGGGGGAGTCAACGAGGACTGGAAGCGGCGGGGGAAGAGAGGATGAGGGGCCTCAATAGCGGGAAGAGTTTGGGTAGCCAGCGTGACGACAGGACGGATTGGGTCGCCGTGTAGACAACCCAGAAGACAATGTCGAGCTGAGGATGGATGGATGGATGGATGGGTGGGTGGGTAAAGGGAAGAATGAAGTGGAGGTGAGAGTAGTAGTAGTAGTAGTGGTAGTAGTGGTAGTGGTGGTGGTGGTAGTGGTAGTAGTAGCAAGTAAGTAGGATGTTGGAGCACTAGTTGGAGTGACAACGGGAGACGGGCAAGCGACTCAGGATTTCCTAGTAGGGCAGTTGCAAGTTGGAGCCGAGTGGAGCAGGCTGGCCAGGCTCCGTTGGAGGCAGGGCGATATCAAGGGGGGAGGAGTGGTGTAGAGAGGATGTGAGCAGTGAAGCGCTGGAAGCGATGGGAGGGGTGAGGCGCGGGAGCAGTCCATGTATGTAGTATATATGGGGAATTGGAGGTGACGGTGACGGGCGCTCGCAATCGGGCGGGCGTGGGTCGGTGGGCCTGGGCGGGGAGGGATATAGGATCGAGTCTAGACTAGGAGGTTGCGGTGTAATGGTCGGGGGATCGCTGGGCGGCAGCAAACCATGGAGGGATGCCATGTTGCGCCAGACCAAGGCGCGCAAGTGCAAGGGCTGCAACGACACCAAGGGCAGCAACGCGACCAAGGGCTTTTTGGCGACGCACTAGACAGGCCCCACGCGCCGCCTTCGGGCAGTCATGGGCAGGGATACGGGCAGGGATACGGGCCAGGTGGGCAAGGACATGGATATGCTGGCAGGGCCGAGTGCGTGCAGCGTGTGCCGTCGGGCACGCACGTCCAAGGGCTAAGCAGCAGCTGGACAGGATGCGCGGAAGCGGACGACTGGCGCCAGCGACTCCTGGAGCGGCCAACGTCGACAACGCCAGACGCCGCCAGCCCTGCAGCCGAAGGCACTGGCGTGCGGGAGTGATTCCGGTCCACGTCTAGTCCTGTCATGGCCGCCTAGGGCCGGTCAAGACAGCGGGCGGGCGACAGCGCCCACTGCCACTGCCCTCTCTCTGCCCGGGCTGCACGCACGCCTGCACCGCCCTTTTTTATGCATCTGAGCGCCTCATTGGCAGCCCGCCGGCGAGGCCCCAAAATGTCCGAAACGATGCTCTGTGCCACGTATGTATGTATGTATGTATGTATGTATGTATGTACTGACTGAAGTAAGTCTGTATGTAGGCACCATGTATGTATGTACATGTATGTAAGTAGAGCACGCCCACACACCCAACACGCCCCCGTCCGGCGGTCTAAGTATCTATGCACGAACAGTACTTCCATCCATCCTACTACGGCTCCCTAGTACTTACCTGCCTGCCTGCCTGCCTATTCATCGGAGCGTCGTTCTTGCGGCTGATTGCATCATATCGTCCCAAGTCATGTCACTCCATCTCGTCTCGTCTCGTCTCAGCTCAGCTCGTTGCCGTGCACACACACACACTTAGATAGTGTACACCCATCACGGCTTGGAAACACGCGGTGCCGGACTCGGCCACATCACTAACGTCTCGGGACGGTCAGCGGCGGCAACGCCCCGTCTGGCTGGGCAAGGCAAGAGAGATTATTATACTACTGCATGCACGCTATCCTGCCTGCACGCCTAGCAAAACGTGCTCGCGCGGTCCGTGCTCGCCGTGTGGAGGCTACAGGCTAAGAGTGCCTTGCTCCCTCGCCCGCCCATCCTGATCCTATACTGGATCCCCATCACGTGGGGGTCAGCACCAGCCCTCCATCGCACATGATACGCAGCCTTCTGAAACGCCATCGTATCACGGATGCCATTGCCTGCTTCTTCTCGCCCGTGTGATTGCAACGCGCAACACCTGACCTCCATGCACCTCATGCCCCCCCGCATGCCTTGCGCTTCTGGGCACGGGATACCCACGCCCACTCTCTCTTGTCCACTCACTCCCAAGTCCTCAAGCACACGCTGAAAATCCATCTGTGCACCACACTCGCGGCCATATAGTATGTAGCCACTGACATGCAGCAGCTCCGCCCTGCACCGCCAGTGCCACCAGCCCACTGTCCAACTTTCGGATCGCCTGCTCATCGAGGCGAGCTGACCCGCGTGCTGGTGGGGAGCTCTTCCGCCAAGGCCCCTGTCCTAAACCAGCATAGCGTGTATCCACAGCCCTGGGTTGCACTGCGCCATTGAGGAAACTCTGCCATCGGCTGGCCGGCCTTCTCCACCAGTTTCCGGTTCCACTCTGTCGGTTACGCTGCCAAGTCGGTGATCCAGGGGGATGCTGCCACCTTCCCACAAGCTTCTTCGAGCAAGCACGTCATCGGCGTCTTGTCCATGTCCCTGACCCTCTCTTCATCCCGCCTAAGACACAAATCTCTTCACCCCAAGCCATTCCGTCTTGTCATGGGCGCTCTCTTCACCGCGGCCGACCTCGATCTGCTTGCTCCTTGCCCCTCGCCCGGCCCCTCGCCCGGCCCTGCCCATGCCCTGCCCTATTGCTGTGCCCTATTGCTGTGCCCTTGCTCCTGGGTTAGCACGCGATACCCTTGTTCGTAATCGGCCGCCATGCTTGTCTCGCCGACCATACCACGCCCATCCATGTCCATTCGTCAAGAACAAAGAGTGTCTCATCCCGATCCAGAGCGGCCATCCAAAGGGATGCTTTCTGTCGTAGCGTCTGATGGTCCATGTGCATGCCCAAGATGCCAAGACGCCCTATCCCCAATGCACGGACCACCTGTAGTTTGTTCGCTGCGGTTACAATTCTCCGTCGCTCTTTAGACTCAACGCCTAGTGCACCTCGTCCTTCGTGCTGCGGGAACAAACAGTACACCTAATTCGCGCCAAAGTTTCGTCCGCCTCAGCCCGGGCCAGATGTTCCACCATCCGCCCTATCGTCGGAACTTAATCACCAGCCCGCCTTGTGCCTATCCATCCTGGCCGTTTCACAATATGCGCCCATCTCGCTTGCCATTGGCCAGAGTGCACTATACTCTACTTCTACAACGCAAACCTCAAGGCTGAATCAAGTCTATGCAGAGGACATTCCCGCCGCTAATTCCATGTCCGCAAATCATTACATCACTGCGATTTTATAGCAACACCTTTCACCTCGGCGCCAAACACATGCGAAGTGATGAATCCATACTAGCACATCATCCCGCACACCCAGCACATTAGGCACGCACTACTTAGTAGCATGCGCACTGCACAAAAACCCCCGAGCAAGCCGTGCTAAGGCCAACCGTTGTGGTGTATCCTCGTCAACCCTAGCTCGCTGTCGATCAAAGCGGCAACTACCACAACCGCAACAATTGCAAAAACCATTGCACCCTTGAGTAAGTCACGCGAAGCGCCTCTGGCATAACCCGGTCATACTTGCTGACAGAGCTTTGTTCGCTGCCGAAGCCAATGTTCGGCACTCGTTGTCTCGTTTGTGTTTCGTCTTCACCCGCAATAATTACTTGGTTCAGCTCAGGACACCACGGACTCAAGTCCGCTATCACAGCCGTGTCTCGCCCCACAAGAGCATGCCCTGACTTCTTCTATATCATGCAAGTAACATGTATCAACAGCGGCTGCGTATGACTCAGCGCTCCGTTTGTGACACGGCATTGCGACAGACGTACGCCATATATAGCTAAAGAGTTTCGACGTTGCAAACAGCTCACAGTGGAGACCCACGTCGTAGACCATGCTCTGATCATTCTGCTCCAACCAGGTATTTGCATAGCATATCCACCCAACGCATTCTCAAATCCCTTCAGCCCCCTTCCCCCACCCCCACCTCGGCCTTTACCCATACCAGTGACTTCTGCCACTCAACAATATTAAGTTCTTGGTAGGCCTACTATCCGCATCTGGAATATTGGACATCGAGGTTATGCCCCTTCAATTTACCACGACGCTGCCCCCGTTGCGTTCTCGCAACAGCAACAGTAACAGTACATACATGCTTCTTCGTGTGCATCTGCAGAGTGCGCCAACAGGATCCAAAGAACCCATGTTCGTCACCTTGCTGTCAGCACCAGTATTCATGTTCCTCGATCAACCGAAGCGGATACTATCTCCGCCACCAATCGGTGCAACACAACTTGTACGCTACTTTGTTCGCACGATGCCATACTCCGCCAAGCGCTATGCATGGCGACCAAAACCATCTCTCTCAAGAATCCTGATGTAACTTCTTGATCGCTTTGAATAAATCCCATATCCCCATCCACCCAATCTCGATGACTATTTCCGCATTGCTTGGCTGGCTCAAGCACGCGAGCTGCGCCGCAGCAGCATGTCCTTACCCCCGCAGACCCTTGAGCAAGGAGCATTTCGCTACCCAACAGTCGGTGGGAAATGTGGACCTCGTGGGATAACCCTTCCAAAACTGATTTTGGCGTGGTGTGATTCGACCTCCTCTTACCATCTTTCTAGCCCCTCAATTCCGGCAGGCACTGCCGCGAACAGCAAAGTCTGGCCAAGATATGCGAGTAATCCGCGCGCAATCTGTGTGGATTGGGGGACGTTTTTTTCCCCGTCTTCCCCTCCTTCTTCTGTTGGAGCGGAGTTATGAACCGAGTCGTCTCGTGCACCTCATTCACCCTTTCCTAGCTTCACCTTCGTAGTTCGCGAAGACCATGTAAATATGCCAAGTCGCCTACCCTGGACACGTAATGGTACGATATGGTAGGTAGTAGGGCGCTACTCGAAGCTAGAGGAGCTTGATAGCGGTGTATGTCTGTATACACGAGTCAGTGCCGTGTCACGGTGCTAGTCTCGTGTTTTAGGACACCAGTGTTGAGCTATCTGTCCTTGGAGTAGAGCGCTTTGCTGCTCGCATTCCCTGCCAGATAGGAATGCTCTTGTGATATGCTGAATGCAATCACATTATCATGCAGCGCACAGCATCTTGGGATACTGAGAAAAGAGACATGGCCAGTCATGGATCGCAGCCAATGCACTACTACTCACACGATGTGACACTACCCCACTCATGCTGTCATTGTGATTCTGGCAAGAGTATGATTTGATAAAAGATGAATGAAGCTCGATCTCCGTGGAGATAGACACAGCGATGCTACCACGATTCCCAGAAAAGGAAACGGATAGTAATTTCGCAAACTTTGTAAAATGGGCTTTACAGTGCATAAACTTGATCAGAAAAGACGTGCGTCGCGACCGGTGCCGAGACAGGACACCACCACAGTGCGTAATTATAAATCGAAACATCTTGGATCAAGTGTGCGAAAAGGTTCATTGCTGACGGCGTGCAATCAAATAATGCAACATCTTAAAGCTGGCAGAGAGCCGTCCTAGCCATACTGGTGCTCAGGTCTCAAGGCTGCACATCAAACAATGTTGCACCATCATTCAGCCAATTGGTAGTCGTTGCACGTGGTATTTTACCATGATGTATTTTATTGACGCCGGAGAGTCGAATAAAACACATATTGCAATCATGGCTGTTATGTGTAGTACTTGTCGGACACCATACCTGTAAAGATGGGACGGCGGCGGGCCGGGAAACGCCGACACAAGTCTTGGCAAAGGACACGCTTACGTCTGTCTCGACACAACATACGTACAGAGCTGCGCGTTCACTCTTTTCGGATCAGCAACAATGAGGGTTATACACAGCTTTGTTTCTTCACTACTCCTTTCGAGTGCAGCGATTGTATCTGCTGCTTCCTCGTGGAGCTTTGAAGATGCTACTGTTTCGGTTACGAGCAAAGGTGCTGGTGTAGGCGGAGGTTCCAAGGACAGGTAAGCTTAAGCTATAGCTCTGTATTTGTGCAATGAGTATACGACTAACATTATCTCTCTAGTCTGAGCCCTTCGAAGCCGCTCGGAAAGTCTGTATCACTGGGCGCGACCGACACATTGAAACTCGTCCTTACCACAGTCGACGGAGGCACTGCGAAGCGTCCACACCAAGCATACTTGACTCTGACCGACCCCGTCACTGGCGTAGAAGACTCGTTTGTGTTTAGTGTGAAGGATAGTGGAAAGGGAAAAGTCGACCTGGTACGTAACGCCCGTCAATGGCTGCCGACATACCTGACCATTCCAGTCTCACAAGGATCTTCCTCATCAATTCTTGACAGCTGAGAAACCAATTGCTGCGTCCATTGTCATTGGATCCTTCGGTTCATCTAAGCCGTACAAGAGCAAGGTGTTTGACCTTAACGTCACTCGCGACACCAGCATTCCTCTAAGCGTCCCTAACCCGCCAGTACGCTTTGCCGCCGAGCCGGAGATCCACCACATCTTCCGCAGCGACCCCAAGTCTCCACCAAAGGTCATAACTCTTGTGTTCGCGGCTGCTGTTGCTGCTGCGCTGCCCATGCTGCTTGGAGCATGGGCTATTTTGGGCGCAAACGCTAGCCATTTGGGCAAGGCCCTGGGTAACGCCCCTGTATCGCACGCCCTTTTCTATAGTTCTATACTGGCCATGGAGGGCATCTTCTTTTTGTACTACACGACTTGGAACCTTTTCCAGACCCTGCCAGCTGCTGCTGCCGTCGGAATCGTTGCCTTTTTGAGCGGCAGCCGAGCCCTGTCCGAGGTTCAGGAGCGTCGATTGGCTGGCTTGAGATAGGTGGAAATGGAAATTGAAAATGGCATTATAGTCTGAACATTAAAGACGAGAATTCGAAAGGGGGTTATGGATGGCATACAAAGCGCCACTAAGCGTGGAAAAAAGGACAACAATGGGACTATTGTATATTACGCATGTTGAATGATTAAACACTAGAATACAGGCTGGGCTCACTGCGATACCAGCAAGTCCATGCACTTGAAAGTGTGTGTGGTGGTCCTTTTTTTTTCGTTGTGCCTATAGATGATTACCCTTGTGATTAGTTTATGGGACGAGTCATTATTTTCCAGTGTATGTTGCCCCTCTTGGGAGTTTGTAGATGCGAGACACATGAGTACCAGCACATGTGAAGTTGGCTCACGGTGAATTACTCTGTTTTGCTCAAATATTGCATCACATACGATACAAGTAACGTTACCTCGTCATTCTCCTACTGCGATGTGTAGAGTACAAATTAATACATTGAGAATTCGTTATAATTCTATGCCTGATTTTTATTCTTTGTTACAACCATGTGTCAACTTGCAATCCTACATGTCAAACAAAAAAAGGCACTGACGTGAATACCATGCCAACTGTCAAGCAAACACCATTCACCCTCGCCATTCACCCCACCATCCTCAAAATGCCCTCGACATTCTCCCTCCCCACAATACCCTCGTCAACCATCTGCGCCAGCACCCATTCCACCACGCCCCTCTTCCCCTTCCACCCCTCCTTCCCCGCTCCACCCTTTCCCTCGACTTCTTCCTTCAAGACCTCCGCAACAACCGCCTTCGCATCCGCCACGCGCTGCGCATGCAGCGCGGCCGCCCTCTCCGCCCAACTCCTCGCTCCCCTGTAAAAAACACCAGCGTTAGCAACCAGCGTCGGCCCGCTCTTCTGCCACGCGGGTTTGGCAGTTGCAAAGAGTGAAATGCGGAAGCGGAAGAGATCCGTGTCGCCTCTTGCTAGAAAGACGTCGGATAGGCGTGAGGGAGAGAGGAGGGAAGCGTGCGGCGCGGAGGAGAGGGTGGTGAGGATTGTTTGGGATTGGGTCAGGGCTGTCCATTGGAGCGCCGTGTCTGTTTCAAAGGTGGGTGCCGAAGGCGTGTATTGTGTGCCGTCGGAGAGGGCGGAGGCGAAGTCGATGAGGGCGTCTGCGTGGGCCGAGTGCAGGTTTACGGTGGCCAAGGTAGGAGGAGGGGTTTGTGGGAGGGATTGTTGGAGGGAGGAAAAGGTGCGGTCGATGGTTGAGGCGTAGGCTGTTGCGTCTGTTTTTCCGCTGCGGTACTGGATTTCTGCCACGCTGGCTTGGAAGGTGGCGATTGCGAGGAGGGCGTCGTCTTTGGGCGTTGTGGTGGCTTCTTCGGATGCGGGGGTGGAGGTTAGGGAGAGGGTTGGGCCGGATCGGCGTTCTTCTGCTGGGGCTTTTGAGGGCGATTGTTCGATGAGGTCGAGGAGAAGGGGCATTTTGTGCGTGGCTGTTTCGAGGCCATCTTCGGCTTTCTTTTCGAGGCCCGAGAGGTCGAGGGCAGGGTTGTAGAGGCCGAGGAGTGTTGTGAGGGCGTTTAGTTGTGCAGTGCAGGTTTCTAGAATTGATTCGGGTGTTAGGGGCTCTTCGACTGTAGCCCAATCGCCTGGTGCTTCTGCATCGCTAGACTCGGTCTTCACATCTTCATCTGCTTCCCCAACTGCTGACTGTTGTTGTCGTTCTCCTTCCCAGGCCTCCCGGTACTCGCCAGAAGCCTGTGCTTTTGCAATCTCGGCTTGAATCTGCGTGTACTCTTGCTGCTGACTGTCCAGACACCTTTTGAACATCTCCACAGCCTCTTCAAGCAATGGCCTTGCATCTTGCTTTCTGGCTTCTTGTGTGTCACTTTCTAGACGGACTTCCGCCAGTGACGTAAGCACTTGTGCAGTGTTGAAGAGAATGTCAGTATTTGTTGGATTCAGCGAGACTGCAAAACGGTGAGAATCCAAGGTTTGCTCCAGCAGGGCCGTTCTGTTTCCAAATTGTGACATGCTGCGCTCATCTTCTGCGATGTTGTATAGCAGATTTGCTCTGGACTCGATTAGTACTTGGCGCAAACTGAGACGCTCGACCTACTCACTTGTTATACGCGAGATCAAATGATTGGGGGTGGAGCCTCAAGCCCTCATTATACATATCAATTGCTCTGTTGAAGAAGCGAGCAGCTTTTGCTGCGTCTCCAGCGCGCCATTTTCCCGCTGCCTGCTCATACTCGTCTGCGGCTTCTAGAAAGTCGTTTTCGGTTTGTGGTTCTTGTGGTTTTAACTTGCCCTTTGGTTTCGGCTTGAGAAACTCTTTTCGCTTAGGAGGCATGTCGACGGGAGAAGATGGTGGTGAGAAGCGACGAGTTTTTGGTTTGGTGTTGTATATTGCAGTCAGCGACAGGACAGGGTCTGTAAAAAATTGAGTGGCGAATCTGCCCGAGTTTGATTGAATCTGGTTGATTTCTCAGCACACACAACCTCGTCCTAAGCACCCTTTACTTGCTCTGAATGCGACTGACATACAGGTTTGATTTCTGCTCACCCTACCTCTGAACGCGAAACTTCTTACACACCCCGCTTCTACCTGCCCCACTTTGGACGAGCATCGCGAACCTTGGACTTTCCGCATCCAAAGCTTTCACTTTAGCTTCTCCCTGTTGAACTCATCCCACAACAAGGTTTTGTCAATCAGAAAGCCACTTTGATCAAACAATACGCCTTCTTCCCTCAGCAGCTCTAGTTTCGACTCCTGGTTCTGTCCACTCGGCGCCTTTTCCCAGTCACCCTTGTAACCGCCAACAAACTATATCAGTCAGCACAACTGTCGCACCTTTCGTCGCAGAACACTCACCCCGGTACTGGCAATGCATCTATGACAAGGCACTGCCGGACAGAACGGGTTGACGCGTAGCGCGCCGCCCACGGCTCGTGGAGAGCTGCCCAGAGCCTTTGCTATAGCGGCATATGTTGTGACACGACCTTCTGGGATCTGTTGGAGTGCTGTGTATACGCGTTCCTGGTATTTGGTAACTTTCTGCTGTAGGGCCATGATGCAATGTATCAGGAATCTACATGTGAAAAACACGCGTGTCTTTCTGGATCAACGCGCAGTCACGTGGCTTGCTTTCAAACTGACCATTCTCAGGCATCTCTATATGACCGGACCAAATAAATGTCAGATCTATCAACGGCAATAATAGGCACACGATTTTTCTGGTTAGTAACACTGTGGCTGAGATTTCATTCTTCATCCCCGTCATATCTCAATACTGAAACATACAGGCTTGTCTGAGTGTTAACGGCACAGATGAGCTGTAGAGCCATTCCCGCGGAATGTTCAACCCTATTACGAAATGCACTCGGAAAAAACATGTGTGTATATCTGTAACTAAGAGGACCTCCACGGACTTCCGATTTGATAATGGGTCCCCCCACGAACAGGCTTAGCAGCCAGGTCTATCCTGGATACGCTGACGGTCACTAACACTTCAGCCGACCGGGTATTCCCAGATCGATGGCAATCGGCCTATCTAGACATTCTCACAGTGTTTATGGTAAACAAAAAACCCCACGAACTTCCTCAACCTTCCTCGAGATCGGCATTTGCGGTCAATGCATTCGGACCTTGCCGACAAAATATACATATACGCGCGATAAGCTGAGTCACATCGCACAGCAGACTCCAAAAGAGCATTACCTCCGATAGACGGAAACTAACAGAGTCGGAAGCGCTCTCGTTTTGTCATACCCCGCACTACTGCCACCTTTACAACCATGGAAAAATTTGTGCTTTGGCGGCTTGACGACCAGAGGGGGCCGTCACAACTAAGTCACGCACTAAAATGCACGTCGTCATTTCCACACAGCGACCTCAGACGAACTTATTTCCTGCTTATACCGCGGCGGGCCGAGCTCCACTGGGTCTCGCAGGGTCATCAGGTGTTCACAGCAAGTGATTCGTAGACAGTGAAGCAGTCGCGCCGTGCCGCCCTCCCTTTTTTCCCTTCTCCATTTGACTAACGGGTAGAGTCAAAGCACGAATCAGTCTGGGGCCAAATGGGTCCGCTGTGGGCCTCTGATTGTTGTCGTAATTTGACATGTCGACCCAGTATGCCATGCGTCCTGCAGTTGGGCGGTTAACAACAACTAAGATTTGGCTCCGACATCAGCACCTTGACGGCTGGAACCGTCAAATCTAGACGCAAGACGCCGCCAGTGTGAAGCAGAAACTTTGCGCTATCTGCAACACTATTATCGCTCCGGCTGTCAGACGTTGGCTAGGTTTCTGCAATATGGTTGAAAGTATTGACTACTTTGATCTACAGGTCTCGACGCTTTCTTGGGTGTCTCAACTCCAACACCACTCTCAGGAACTAGCGACCTTTGGGTCAGCTCGTCGAATGCCCTTTACCGCATCTACCCACGGGTGTCGTCTCTACGGATGAGCGCATTCTATCCTTGTATCAACCTGGGGCCAGTGATAACGTCAACGGCCAGATTCAGTCTTTCATTGGCCGCAACCCTTCACCAGACCCTTCCTTATACAGTATGGCGTAGTCACATGACCATATAGCTCTGCGGGCGGCCGTTTTTTTCACATTACCAGAGCACGAATGAGCGTCCAAAGCCGGGGTCAGCAGGTGTGGTGGCTTTGGCGCGACCTGGACGGTGGATCGCACCCACAATGGCGCGCCCTCACTCCGAAGCGCAGGTGAAACTGTCGAGGATAGCAAAAAATACCGCTTCTGCTATTGCAGGTGAAGAAAGTCCAAAATCGTCTTTGTGAGTCGAGAGTTGCGCAGCCTTTTGATGCGTTGTCATTGTGGCGAGGGAGATCGACTGCTCAGCCTCAGATTCGCCTGAAGCTAAGCCGCATTGAGGCACTCAGCCACACTCCAGCTCTCTCTGGACGGGCTCTCCGGCTTGACGGGCATAATGCCACCGCCTCATAAACAGATCCGTAGGCTCCTGGTTAATTAAGCATGCAATGGTCACAAGAATAGCAACAAGAATTGCGAGATCCATTGGGTAACCACTGCGAAAATCGCTCAGAAAGCCATATGACTGTTTCTGCATGGGGAATCCAGCCGCCTGTTGCCCTGCAAGCCCTGATTGAACAGTCAGACAACCCCCTCTACAGGTGAAGGCTTCTCAACGAACCTATTGCTTCGCCAGATTAAGGTAGATGCATACGAGCCGTTGATAGCCATTTCGGTCCTTTTTTGAACTCGATGAGACAATCGATGGCTGATCGTCGCGCAATTTCGAAGGGCTGAAGGTAACATATGTAGCTGGAAGGGCAAATGTTGGCAAATGAGGGCCGTTGCGACATCACGGCTATTTGTCGACGTCTTTGGCTAAGATTCGCATCTCAGCTCCCAAAACAACAGCCCTGTCATGAGACGTGTCTTGAAAAGCAATAGAAAAACGTGAGGCTTGTGGTGAGGGTTGCTGAGCGTTTGGAACGGCATAATGTTGGTGGGTAAAGGACGGACGCGGGCGCCCTGACAGCCAATTGGACTTTTCACTTGGCTGGCGCCATACAAGGTCTGTTTGCGAATCACCGCCCTCCACCACCGCTCAGCAACTCGACTGGCTGTGCTCTCTCTCCAAGCCAGAGGCCTCCACCCGCCTATCCAAGCCCAAGCGCCCGCACTGGACCAGGATGTCGCCGTCCGGAATCAGCCCAATATCGCAAGGCCGCCGGCGTCGGCTCTCTGGAAGATGTGTGCGCATCCAAGATGCGCACGCCGCGAGGTTGTACATATGCAAGCCTACGCACCACGCAACCGCAACAATCATCAAAGCGCTCTTGACCAACAGATTCCATCACTGAGCTTGCCAAACCACCTATATTGCCGAGAAACTCAGGACTACTTGAAAGAGGCACCGGGACTGGTCCTCCGTTTTGAAGACGGCTCATCCGCAAAAGCCCCACTGAGGCGACTCTCGGTTGAAGCCCCGCGCTAGGACTGTTGACCCTGAGGTAAGAATAGACGGGACGCGTGAGCTGCCGTTGGGGGCAGGAGTATAACACCAGTCATCGTCTCGTTGCTCCCTGCGCGCGTCGTGGTCGATTTTCGTCCCATCTTGCTGTATCCTGGCACAGCCCCATCTCGGGCATTGCCGACTGCGCCACACCCATCACCCGTTTTCGGACTTGCCGATAGATGTGGCATACGAGAAAGATTTTGACAACTTCACCGAAAGTCTGCACGGATACGCAAGACTGCATGTACCATCTGGCTGGATGACTTATATGGATAGACTTGCAATCTCAGTCATCGTAACAAATCCCCGAATCGCCACCCCCGTCCGGTTAATCTAGCCTTCCCGCCATCAGCCGCACCTCACACCAATTCGCTCTACAGACTCTATCCAAGTTGGCTTTTGCTATCAGTTTCGGAATCTCGATTTTCCGGCTCCCATTCGCCAAACCTTTTTGTCTCAAGCGTCTCACAGAAGGGTAAGCACATGCCTTCATGAGTTACTCGGCGTACACAAGCATCTGTTGTACATCTAGCCGTGCTACACAAGGCTACCCAACATGGCTTCTTATAAGTCACAATACCCTCCCTCAAGGAGGGTGGAGGACCGAGCACCCACTACTCGGTTGCCTCAACGATCTATCACACCCACCACAGGCCCATCGCAGTTACCCGCCTCAAGTCACTCAAAACTGCAGAAGAGGAGGCCCTCAAGAGATGATGAGGTACAGCCCAGAGGTCCTGTAAGCCAAACAGGGTCGGTATCAACGTCCAGTATACGCCAAAGAACTACCAGCCGGTCTACTCCTATGTTTCCTCAGAACACAAGCGCTGCAAGCTCAAAACCAACATCTCAGACGTCGACGTCCCGACTACCCAAGCTCGAGGTTCCCCAAGGTATACGTACACCTTCGCTCGCATCAGGATCATCGGCATCAACTATCGAAAGCCCTCGATCGAATGTTCTCCGGAGAAAGCAAGCGAGTTTTGGGGTTGCTAGTGGTCGACAAGCAATACGCATAAGGGACGATTCGATGTCGTCCCAGGACGATGCGCAACCGATGGAGGGCATACCTGGTGGCTACAAGGATCCTTTCTCGGAGACTGTTCTAGGGATCTCAATACCACCGGCCTCGACAATACTGGCTCGTTCAGAGCCCCAGGCCGAGCTGTATAATAGTCCGCTCTATGATGACGAGATTGGACCCACAGATATTCTTCCTCTTCCGGTTCCCCAATATGCACTCTCTGCAACCCCATCGACACGTTACTCGGAGTCTCCAGGACCTTTCAGTGTCTCATCGACCCCTACATCAATGTCGTCCTACTCGCCAGGAACAACACTATCGAGGGCTTCTAACCGAACACGGCAAGCAAGTCCTCTACAGAGTAGACCGCCTGTTACTCGACACAAGACTCCGGATGAGATGAACAATCGCCACCCACACGCTTTATCCACAGTCAGAGAGTCCTCGACATCATCCTCATCGGTATCCACTGTCGTCACTGAGGGTGCAAAATACAAAGACATGTCCTCACCTAATGCACTAGCCACCCTCCCTCAGAGCCCTCGAACATCAGAAGTGATGCAGAACACAAGCGAAAGATCACAGGCTCAGGCACCTCCCGAGTTCGCTCATCTTGCAAACCAATCGCCTGTTCCAATGCCATCGGCAAGGCGGCCATCAAGACCTAGCAGAGATGGTACTCCAGAACTATCAGGACTCCGAGGTCCATCGCCAATCATCCAGAGTAACATGCCTCACTTTCCATCCCACCATAAGCGTAGCGCATCGTCCGAATCTAGGATTGCGCTAGCTTCCACCATGAGGTCCAAGACGACTACTCCGGCAAAGCCATCTTCACGACTTCCATCGCCTAATCCCTCGTCAGCTTTGCCACCAGTCACCCGGTCAACATCGCGTGGACCTACTCCAGACCTCCAGCTTGATAGGAATACCCGAAGAGTTAGCTCTGGACCAGTACCGGCACCAGCCCCAAGCCCGAGCAAAACCTCTCGATTCGGATTTTTCACGCGTCGTACCAAGACTGAGCCCACTGCCCCCGCGAAGTCAGATGGAAAGCTACATCGTAGAGGGCCTGCTGCAGGTACTGGGCATGAAGGATACGGGCGATATGCCGGTAGAGGTCGGAGTGGAAGTTCGATCAGTACCAACAGTATTGGACGTTCTGCTAGTGCTGGAACAACTAATGAGAGTTTGGACAAGACACCTTCGACACGCAAGAGCAGCATGACAAGTACAACAAGCGGGGACATGGATGACTTCTTCCTGAACCGACTTGCTCCAGTAGTTATTCGGGGTACAGGAAGCAGCACAGAGCTCACACGTAGTCCCGAACCAATGCAGAGCAGCAGCAGTCTCGACGTATCCATCAAACAGCCCACGAAAACGACGCAGATTGAAGGCAGTATGTCACAGTCTGCACTGGAGAAGAACAAACCAACACTGTTGCCTTCGGCAATGCCGAATACCATGCGTGGAGTATCTCCCATGAAGAAGATGGCTATGGGACTACGAAGGCCCTCGGAAAGTGATGACGACGTGAAGAAATCATCTCTACCTGGCGCAACTTCGAAGAGGACATCACGATCATTGCAAACCGCGCAGGTATCTAGTGGCTCCTCGGGCTCCAGCAGCCGCATAGTTGGAAGAATTCGCAAGAACTCGATCAGTGAAGCTCCAACTGAGACCAAAGAGGGCACATGGTTGAAATCGTCAAAGAAGACCAAGGCAGAGAAGGAGGCATCAAAACCGTCCAAAAGGTGGAACTTCTTTCAACGTGCACATGCGGGACCACGTGCAGACACACCAGCTGGTCCTGCACCCAGTCCTAGCAACAAGGCCAGCGCCTCTCGCTCTGTTGCACATTATGCTTTGATGGACCAGTCTGGTCTTGAGCTTAACGACATAGAGCAGCTCATGCAGGAGGCTGATGAAGGCACAGAGAGTGCTCTTTCAGACGATGAGCCTGGAAGGAAGGAAAGAATGCTCTCTATGCTGCTGCCACCCAAACCGATTCTTGAGCCTAGCTTTGTGCCTACAGCACGCCCAGCCTCACCCAAGGTCTTCTTACGCTCAGAGGCGCCACCACAACCCGAACAGCAGCAGAGCAAATTGGTTATCGATACCAACGTTCCTGCGTCCTACAAATCTGAACGTTATTCGCTGGCAGACCTGACACCCGTCACCGATCTCTCTCGGCCTACGTCTCCTTTCGAGCAGCCGTTCCCAGTACAAGATTACGGTGTTGCCCCGTCGCAGGATGCAGCACTTCCTTCGCAACCATTGGAGCCTGAGCCTCAAATTCCCACTTCTCCACCTAGCCAAGAAGTCCATGTTCGTCCTCAAGACATCCCCTCGCCTGGGCCTCCACCAGCAAATCCACCTCCACGCCCAAGCCGCTTGGCTCAAGTCGGTCGCATCCCTCAAGTTGTCTCCACCCGCCGCCAAGCAGGACGCCCATCATCTCGATCTTTCTCTCGCCCTTTTATTCCAAATCAACCTCGTCCCACAGCTCTTCCCCGGACGTCTTTTGATTCTATCAGCCCCGTAGTTGCAACCGCGGGTCCGGTCGAGCCGTATCCTATTCTTCAAGGCTTGAGCGCTCTTGCGCATGGATCAGCTATTGCAACTATGAGCCCCGGGGAGGATGAGGCCAACCGCCGAAGCGAATTCTTCAAGTTTCCGCCTCGTAAGGACTCGGAGGTATCATACTCAAGTAGCTCTGGCATTTGGAGCTTTGCCCCAGCTGCAAGCACTGCTGTAGTACCTAGCCCTGGGGCACCATTGTCCGAAGATGAGCTCTGGAATGAGTATGACGATCTGATTGACGAGGTTCTCTCGCCTGTCACTTCTCACACCGCTGAGAATAGGAACACCCTTCGCAGTCATCCTTCTCTTGAGCCAATGCCTTTGCGACCCAAGGCACCAGTCAATGTACCAGGTTCGGAGCGCGACGACGATGAAGTCACAAACCCATCTCTGCACCTTCGCCGCTCTCGTCTGCTGGCCGTTTTGCATTCCAATCAGTCCCCAGCTTCCTCAGTATCTTTCTCTGAGTTCATCTCAGATTATGGGGAGCGCAAGATTAGCGTTATTGATCCCGTAACTGGAAGACTGAGCCTGCCTGCCAGTCCTCGTCTTTCCACTGGATCCGCCACAAAGCGCTCGACTCGCTCTAGTCTCCCAGCGTCTCTATCACACAACGCGCGACAGTCGAGAGGTACCATCGCCTCTCAGTCAAGCAAAGACCGCACTAGTGCCGCTACGAGCCGGTATAGAGACTCGCAGCTCATGGAGGTTGCTGAGAACCAAGCTGACGGACTGCTGTCCATGGCAAATCTTCGTTTCGGTGCTCTTATGATAAGCAAGTGGCTTTCCTTCGGTCGTGTCTTGTTTAGCCCAATTCACTTTGAGCTCAAGAACCCAAAAGAGGACCGTGTCCTGGTCATTGATGGGCTCGGCAAAGACTGGTCTTACTACTGTGCCCTGACCTATCCTGAGGCGACTGTGTATGACATGGGGCCTGATCCATCTCCGACGACGTCATCTGAGGGTGCGGCTGAGGCTTGGTCAACTCTCGGTAACCACCGCCACATCTGCCATCCCTCTCTCAGCAAAGCTTTCCCGTTCCCTATGCATTTCTTTGCATGCGTCGTGCTTCGATTTCCGACTGCACTTCCTTCCTCCGAGCACCACTTTGTCCTTTCGGAAGCCAAGCGCGTCCTGCGTCCTGGTGGCTACCTCGAATTCAACGTCCTCGATATGGATCTTGTCAATATGGGCAACCGGGCGCGCCGTGCTGTCCGTGGCCTGAAGATGAGGATGCAGGTAGCGGATGAGAACATCTCACTCCGCAACATCAGCGACGAGGTCATGGCCGGCATTGGTCGCAAAGGTTTCGTCGAATGCAACCGCTGTGTTGTTGGTGTCCCTGTTGCCGGAAAACTACCCAATCTCGAAGAGATGAAGACACCTACCGCTTTGAGGAAAGACAGTACAGTAAGCTCAACAACAAAGACAGGCAACAATGTGGCCTCACCCGGTGGACCAAAGCCCGGAGTTTCCTTCTCTGATCTCCTCAACGCGTCTTCGGCCTCGGAATCTACCAACAGCGACATCACTGACATGGTGGCTCGCGTCGGTCGGTGGTGGTATTCCCGCTGCTACGAATCACTCGTTCTTCCTGAAGCTGGAGTACCTGGTGCCGCAGCTTCAGGAACTATGCTCGAGAACAGCATCTGGCGCGACGAAAGCCTCATCAGCGAATGTGAGAAGCGTGGCACAAGCTTCAAACTTCTCATCGGCTACGCGCAAAAGCCTGAGATGGGCGTCCGACGCACCGTCAGTGTCTGATGATTCTTCGTTTCTTTTGAGCTGTGCTTCAAAGGTCCAGGAGACTTTTACACCCTATCGTTCTTAATGCGTTTTGTCTTTTCTGGGACTTTTTTTACGGCGTTCTGCTGCGTTCAAGCGTTTGATATTTCCTTATACCCTCATTCGTTCAATTTGAGCACTTTGCATAACAAACGGCGGCTTAGCATGATTACAAATACTACTACAACAGAACGGCGCAAGCCTGGGCGCATAATCATTTGTCTCGGAAACGGTCCAGACATTTGTTTTAACTTTTTTTCTTCTTTCTTTGGCCGGATTGGAACATGCTGGTAATGGGCAATATCTCGGGACGATTGAGCAAAGGGAGAGTTTGGTGAAAGATAATACCCAGGCATGTCGATGTGATCAAGGAACTTTTATGTAGATATGACAAGTTGGTCATTGACCGATACGAAGAATGAATCATTTATCTTTATATCAATTGCTGGTATCAAAAGAATTTCCGTGTCTACATTGAGACCACAGACAAGAACAAGATAAATCAATGTGTATCCATCTGCCAAGCGCACTAACCCCAATCCCATAAGCGCCTATTGCTCAGATATCCAACCAATCCGCTTGCAGCACCCTCAGCATTACCCTTCACTCCAACCCTTTCTCTCTTCTCCCACAATCAACTCGAAAAAACAAGAACACACTCTACTCTCAAGGAACCTGGAATTCTCAAACATAAAGTGCAGAGTAAAGATACAGAGAAAGAGCAAGGGAATCAGAGGCGAAAAAAGATGAATCAAAACTTCCAGGGCGCGCCGGACCGAGATGACATTCGGCTTCTGGACCAACTGCGTAGCCAGCTCATGCCTATGATCAAGACCATGGATCGACTACAAGCTGAGATGCAGTTCAAGATGAGTAGGGGAGAAGCCGTTGACTGGTAAGTGTGAGGGGAGGGGGTGGGGATGTGCTTGTTCTTTGTGCAGTTGCGAGGCGGTGTCGCGTTTTTATTAGACCCTGTTTGCACCTGCCATCGTATATGTTTCCCAGTAGACAATTATCTACACCAAAAAAAGGAATTAAAAAAAGAGAAGAAGAAGAAGAAGAAGGAGGTTGGCAATTCGATTGATTGACATTTCACTTGGAAAGAGCACCATGGGAATTCTCCAAGTAGTAAGCATACAAAACTAATATCCTTTCCCTCGGCAGGCCCCAAATCCATCGCGCAACCACAATGGTAACAAACTATATAACGTCCATCCACCTGCTCATCAACGGCGGCTTCCGGCACCAAAACAAGCTGGTGACGCAGAAACAGCGGATGCCATCCAAAGACGCGGCTGGCAACCACATTCTCGACGCCGGCGGCAACGAGGTGTTTGTGGAACGCGACGTGCGACGGCGGCTAATTGCGACGCAGCCGCTGCCAGCCAACACGGAGAAATTCCAAGCCCTGCATCCGTTTCCGAACCCGCTGTACCCGATGAACGCGGGGGGCGGCATGGCGGCGGGCATGGCAGGGACGCTGCTGCGGAAGCGGCTCGAGCCCATGGAAGAAGGCTGGGTCGAAGACAAGATCCGCAAGGCGGCCGAGTGGCTGTACGTGCCCGAAGAATGGGGCGTTGACATGAACAAGAAAGCCGTCTCTAGCAAGCAAGACCGAAGCGAAAAGGAACATGATGATGAAGAAGATGACGAAGCCGAGGTCCCAGAGTCTGAGCGCCTCGACTCGGAAGCTATACCTACGACGCGCGTCAAGGATGTGCTTTCGGGCGATGCGATCAAGGATATTTGGCAGCATGCGCATCAGGAGGTCTTTGATATGAAGTATCTGCGACAAACGTATCCGGCGAGTTACCCGGCCGAGGATGCGCAAGATGCGAATGAAGGTGATGAGGAAGAGGATGACGAGGAAGAAGGGGATGACGACGAGGAAGAGGAGGAATTCGAAGATGTCATGGATACATCTGGGGGACAGGATGCAGGAGACGACGAGTCGGCTAAGCCAAAGGTTATGAAGAAGAAAAAGGTGGTGGTGGGGAGATTGCCGGTGCACCAGGCGGTACCGGGCGCACCGGTGTTTTCGCTGGGCGTGGTACAGAGATTCACGGAGACGGGAGAGGTATAGATGGATTGGTGAAAGGGGGGTACTCATTGTATGATGGTATATCATTTGATTCGGGCATTCTATTTTTACATTAATTGAGGAGGAGGAGAAAAAAAACAGGGTTGGGTATCATGTGTTTCTTTGGCCTGTGTTCACTCTGGTCTGAGTGCGTACATGCGCACGGGGAATAGTTCCTTGGGCATACCTTTTTGCTGCTCTGTGGCAACAATCTTCAGGCCAGCCTGTTGGAAGAGCATGCGGAACTTTGCGTCGGACCGTGTGACGCTCGAGTCTTCATCATCATAGATGTCCTTGTGCTTGATGTCTGTCGACATGTTTTCCTTGACAATGATACAACTCCTAAACGTATCCTGTCCCTCTGTTGTTGGTTTGAGGCCTTGCTTGCAGCGCTCGAGGTATACGACCAATTGTGCGTCGGTCAAGTGTCCAAGACACCACTGGTTCCAAATGACATTGTATGCACCAGGCTCGGGTATCCAGTCCTGTAGACCGAGATTGATAACCTCACCCAGCTGACCTCTTCCCTCCTTTTGTTCCTCGCTGGCTAGGCTTTGCACCAGCTCGTCGGTGAACTTCTTGACGGGCTCCACAACATCGACCTTTTCGCTCACGCCGAGCAGTAAACCCTTTGTTATGCGGCCGATGCCCGCGCCACAGTCGGCTACACGCTGTAAAGGCGGCAAGGGTTCCTTGGAGGCAGCATTGGACCTGCCGCGCCGCAGCTTTGTGAGGAAGTTGGACGAGCCTTGCAAATCAATGCGCGTAGTCTGGGGGAAACCGCCAAGCATGCCGTTCACGTCGGCCGAGACGCTATTCCAGTACTCGAGCGAGTGAGCGACGTCTATCGAGGCGTCTGGGCGCTCGGCGTCGGGGGGCAAGGCGAGCAGTGGGTCGTGGGTCATGTCCATTGTGGAGTATGGGCGAGCGACGAGAAGCTTGAGGAGAATCTGCGGTAGTTTGAGCACGTGAACCTTGACGGCTCTTTTCTGGAAGGCTGACATTGTTGTACGGTTTCTGTTTCTCCTCTTTTCTACCAAGCGGATTTTTCCTGGATTTAACTGGGCGCTAGGCGGGTGGCATTGATCAGGTAATTTTTTCCTTCAAAGAGATCTGCATGAGGGCAGAAGTTTTGGAAGTCGATATGTACAATGACGCGAGTGGGCCGCATGGTGGGGTAGCTTCCGCTGCTGTCTGCCAATAAGCGTGACGATTGCTGTGCGCTCCAATCAACTGGCAGCACACCCGAGAGGTGTTCTCTCGTTTATGCATCAGATAGGCATACCATGTGATGATAACGACCATGTCGAAAGCATAGGCTAGTACTATACCATTTTTCGGCGCCATTGTGTCTTGACCGGCAAGAAGAGTAGAGCCGAGCTCACTGGGTGTATCCAAGGATACGCATACCAGACGCTGAAAAAGGTATTGTACAAGCAGACAACAGAGGACAGGCGTCTGGAAAAGGCAGTTGCATGCGGCGGGGCTACTAGCCTTAACGGCCTCATGGCGGGGTCCGCAGATGCCGATGGTACTACCGCACTCATCACTGGCTGGCGCATTAGATATCTGCACACTATAGATAGCTGGCCACGTCCGCGTCAACAAAAGACATGTCCCGAATTTACTCGGCCTTGACCAGAGCTTCCCTCCGCCCTCGTACATTGCTTTCTCTTCAGCCATTGCCATACAGAGTGCCTGGTGCTAGCATCAGTCCGACTTGGAAATTCTACACGACTCGCACCAACGACATGTCTGACCTCTTCGTTGAGCTTACAGCGCCAAACGGCCGCAAGTATAAGCAGCCAAGAGGTCTCTTCATCAACAATGAGTTTGTCAAGTCCAAGTCTGGTGAGACCATCACAACCATCAACCCCAGGTAAGCTAACCCTCGCCCTTGCAACAGCCTGTCTGCGCTGTGTACGCTAAGCTAAGTTTGTCTAGCGATGAGAGCGAGATTACATCCGTCTACGCGGCTGGCCCAGAGGACGTTGATATTGCGGTAGCAGCAGCACGCAAAGCCCTAAACAACCCGGAGTGGCGGGACATGGACACGAATGTCCGAGCTGATCTACTGTACAAGTTTGCCCAGTTGATTGATGAGCACAGAGAGACGCTGGCGACCATCGAGACATGGGACAATGGCAAGCCATACCTGGTTTCGCTCAACGAAGACTTGAGCGAGGTCGTCGGCACCATCAAGTACTACGCTGGATATGCCAACAAGATTCACGGCAGCGTCATCAACACGTCGCCCCTCAAGCTAGCCTACACTGTCCTGGAGCCAGTCGGTGTCTGTGCACAGATCATCCCGTAAGATGGTGTGATTTTGGAGAATTTGACATGGAGGTACTGACTTGATCTAGTTGGAACTTTCCCCTGGCTATGGCGGCCTGGAAACTGGGCCCTGCCCTCTGTACCGGCAACACAGTAGTCATGAAGGCTGCTGAGCAGACACCACTTTCCCTTTTGTATCTTGGATACCTGGTCAAAGAAGCCGGCTTCCCTCCAGGTGTTGTCAACTTCCTCAATGGCTGGGGTAGGACGGCTGGAGCTGCGCTGGCGCAACATCTGGACGTGGACAAGATTGCCTTTACCGGATCGACAGCAACAGGAAAGGAGATTATGAAGATGGCTTCTATCAACATGAAGAACATTACACTCGAAACCGGAGGAAAGTCGCCGTTGATTGTTTTTGATGATGCAGACTTTGATCAAGCAGTCAAGTGGGCGCACACGGGTATCATGTAAGGATATGCCTTTGCTTCTTGACTGTGTTTTGGCTGACAAACAATTTTCAGGTACAATCAAGGTCAAGTGTGCACGTCAACATCAAGGATCCTGGTGCAGGAGGGCATTTACGAAAAGTTTGTCGAGGCGTTCAAGAAGTACGTCAAGACGGCTTCAGTGGTTGGAGATCCATTCAAGGACGACACGTTCCAAGGACCGCAGGTGACCAAGGCGCAATTTGAGCGCGTGCTCTCGTACGTCGAGGCGGGCAAATCAGAAGGGGCCACGCTGGTTGCAGGCGGCGAGGCGTACAAGAACGTAGGCGGTAAGGGCTTTTTCGTGGCACCTACCATTTTCAAGGATGTGACGGACTCGATGCGAATCTACCGCGAGGAGGTGTTTGGCCCGTTTGTGGCCATCAGTTCGTTCAAGGAAGAGGAGGAGGCCATCCGACGTGCAAACGACACTACGTATGGGCTGGGTGCAGCGGTGTTTACCGAAAACATTACCAAGGCGCACCGTGTGGCTCGACGGATTGAAGCAGGCATGGTCTGGATCAACTCCAGCAACGACTCTGATTTGCGTGTTCCGTTTGGTGGGGTAAAGCAGAGCGGGATTGGCAGGGAGTGCGGTGAAGCTGGGCTGGAGGCGTACACCAACAAGAAGGTATGTGTGGGATGGATGGATTGAGTGGCGTCATGTACCTGCTAACACGGCTGCCAGGCTATCCACGTTAACCTAGGTACCAAACTTTAAACGCTTCAACGGCGCGACCATGGACGGCAAGCACAGGCACAAGGGCAGTGGGGCCCATGGGCAGCCAGGCAAATGTTTGCAAAGACAAAGGGGTGTCCAAGAGTTTCCGCCCTTGGCGCCAGGCCTTGGACGGTTGACGGAGGCCAGGTTTGCAGTAGAGTAGTAGCTGTATGGTTGGCGTCACGAATACAAATGTCGGTGTACATGGGCGAATGCCGGCTTGCTGGTTTGTTTTGCGAACAAGGTGGTTCGTGTGGGAGGCGCAGGGTGTGTGCATGAAGAGCAGCGTGATGACGGCCTGGGCTGCCAATGGAAGAGAGGTGCAAGGGCAGGAGATGACCGGTGGGAGCAGGCACATGTACACATACATAGTATGTATGTGTATGTACAGAACACGTGCAGGGTAGGGTTGTGGCCGGAGGATCGACGATGTCGTAGGCGGGGTTGCAGCGCGGTGTTGTGCTCGGCCGGGCGAGGAGGCGAGGGGTGAAGGCGTGCCCAGCGGCTCTCTCTGATGCAAGGGCTTGTAATCCTTGCCCGCACCCTTGGCGAGGTCGCGTTGTGGAAGCTGTCGACTGCTTTTCTGCTCCGCCTTGTCTCGCTCTCTCCTTCTCTCTCTCTCCTTCTCTCTCTCTCCTTCTCTCTCTCTCCTTCTCTCTCTCTCTCGCCTCCGTCTTCTTCCGCCTGTGTGAGCTCGTGGTTGTGGCTGCATGCGCAGAGGCCGCCGCACCCACACCATATCCTCCTGCCATCGCCGCCGCACCCTGTCGCCGCACGTCCAGGTTGCGTAGCACTGCGGCGCCGTCACGGCAGCCCGGGCTCATACTAGTCAGCGCTCGCCTGCTCGTCTGCCCGCTAACAGCGCACCCAGCGCTGCCATTCAACGACGCGGCCAGGGCCTCTGTCCACTAGACCTTGCGGCTGGCATCGTCGCTGGCTCCCCCCGCCCTGCTAGCCCAGATAGCGGTTCAAGGCATCGTTATCATCGTTGCCCTCGCCCGGCCCCAGCCCCAGCCCGTGAGCACTGCCCAAACAACCCGCCTGTCCTCTGCACACCACCGATCTGGCGCGCACGCTGGAAGACGATCGCTCCCCCGTCGCCCAGCCTAGCCTCATCTGCCGCAGCTTGTCCAGCAGGCAGATCACGACTGCGCCGACGGAGGCCCGCTTCCTGGCTTTTCTTGCCCGCCTCTACCGACCGCCCTAGCACAGCCTCTGCCTCGTGCCCAACCCGTCTCAACTCAACCACCACACATAAGCCCGCCTGCTGCCTGCGCCTTTGCCTGCCCTCCTCGCTCCCCGTACACACTGGCACGGAGCTGCCGGAGAGAGTGAGCCAGCCAACCAGCCAGCGAGCAACGCCATTCCCGGCTTGGTCCTGCACTCCCCTCCCCCAGCTCGGCCGCCGTTTCCTCCCTCTTTCATGTGAGAAGCAGCAACCGCCCGAACAAGACCACTACCACCACCACCACACCCACACACCGCCCGTTTCGACACACGCTCGCTTAGCCACCCCGCATCCTACCCACCATGGGCAACCAACAGTCAAGCGGCAAGGACAAGAAAGGCGACAAGGGCGGTGCCGACGGCGTCCCTCTCGGCCGCGAGTACTATCGCTCCTTCGAGAGATCCGACACCAAAGACTCGACCCGCTCGCTGCGGAACTCGTTGCGCAATAAGATCCCCATCGCCGCAAAGTCCGACAGTCCACGCAACTCGGTTGCCGGCATTGGCGATGCCAACGGCAAGGTGGACAAGTCGGATGCTGCTTCGACAAAGTCCAAAGGCTCGCGAAGAAACTCGCTAGCTTCAACCCCCGCACCACCCCCCGCCTCAGCCCCCGCCGACGGCTCGACAGAGCCCACAGACAAGCCCGAGTCCGACGCGGACGTGCCCCAAGCACCGCCCTCGCCCGTTCACGGCGCAACGCTCGGAACAGGCCACGAGGGTGTGACCAAGGCCCAGCGAACTGGCGAGGTCGACCACGTCTCTGATGTTCCGCCCACGGGAGCCGCACAGCCTTCGGCTTCGGCCCAGCCGGGCGAGTCCATTTTGCAAAAGAAAGACCAGCCTATTCCCAGGCTGCCGGAGCCTCCAGCGCCAACAGACGGCTCGGGCTCCCCCATGGAAATCAGCGCGCTCAAGACAATGGATCTCGATGACATGATTCAGCGACTGCTCGATGCTGCATATGCCGGAAAAGTCACAAAGACAGTCAGCCTGAAGAATGCCGAGATCTTCGCCATTTGCTCAGCTGCTCGAGAAGTATTCCTGAGCCAGCCAGCTTTGCTCGAACTTGCTGCGCCTGTGAAGATTGTGGGCGATATCCATGGACAATACACCGACCTGATTCGAATGTTCGAAATGTGCGGCTTCCCGCCAAATTCAAACTATCTCTTCCTCGGCGACTATGTCGACCGCGGCAAGCAGAGTCTGGAAACCATTCTTCTGCTCCTCTGCTACAAGCTCAAGTTCCCCGAGAACTTCTTCCTGTTGCGCGGCAACCACGAGTGCGCCAACGTCACGCGCGTATACGGTTTCTACGACGAATGCAAGAGGAGGTGTAATATCAAGGTCTGGAAGGCTTTTGTCGATACCTTCAATACTCTGCCTATTGCCGCCATTGTAGCCCAAAAGATTTTCTGTGTACACGGCGGACTATCACCCAGCCTGTCGCACATGGACGACATTAGACAAATTGCGCGACCTACCGACGTGCCTGACTATGGCCTGCTCAACGACCTGTTGTGGAGTGATCCTGCCGACATGGAGAACGACTGGGAATCCAATGAACGCGGAGTTAGTTACTGCTTTGGCAAAAAGGTCATTATGGAATTCCTGGCCCGACACGACTTCGACCTGGTTTGCAGAGCCCACATGGTTGTAGAAGATGGTTACGAGTTCTTCACAGATCGAGTATTGGTGACTGTGTTTTCTGCGCCAAACGTACGACGCTCATTATCTGTCTCGGCTCAGAATTCAGCTAACATTGTACAGTATTGTGGTGAATTCGACAACTGGGGTGCCGTCATGTCGGTTTCTGGCGAATTACTTTGCAGTTTCGAGCTCCTAAAACCCCTCGACTCAAGTGCGCTGAAGAGCCATATCAAAAAGAGCAGGAACAAGCGCCAAAGCATGCTCAACTCACCAGTACGTATCACAACCGAGCCTCCTGGAATTTTGCGCAATTCAGGACTATATATTATATACATAGCAGTACTAACAAGGCCGGCAGCCCGCACACTACGCTCCTCAAAGTTACTAATCATATATGTTTGGGTATAGGATACCCGCGGTACTCCGCCCTCTGCGTCTACATCCATAACTCTGACAGAAAACATTTTGGTACTACAAAAGCCGGGGTCTTCTGAATTAGCCGATGATGCCAGCATGACAGACGAACGAGAAAAGCGACATGTTACCAAACAGCCACGGTGCGTGCAAAGGAAACCTGGATTGGAACGACTGAGCAGTCAAGACGATGATGCCTCTATACCTGTGCCCACGGAACATGGACACATCAGATCGAGCACTTGGGTAGATACTCGAAGCGAGCCTACTGCAATACCCAAAAACCCTAGGGCGCCGTTGCTACTGCAAAACACGCATTCGCACAGCGCTAAACAACTAGGCCAAGAGCAAAGGAAACAGAGGCTCGAAGAATAGAGGGTACTATGGGAGTCTACGCTTCCTAAATCTCTCCTAGATCATATTGGGGGTTTCGCTACTGGGCACCATCTCGACTATGTGCATCCCACAGGCATGCGCCCAAGCAGCTGAGCATGTCATATCTTGCCAACGGCTCTTTCTTCTTCTTCAAGGACACTTCCAGATTTTCCGTCACTAAACCGGACGCTGGCCTTTATTTTCTTTGGGGAGTTAGGATGGATGATGCAACAATTTACCTGTTAGCTCTATTCTCCGAAGGCTTGTTTTTTTCCGTTTCCTCATTTCCTAATTGTCTTGCGCATTGAAAAGGCGTAGGCGTATATCATACATGTGGGCTTCAATCAGCTTACTTCTCTCTCATTTTGACCATACCCTGATATGGGTATCGAGCATGATGCGTTGATGGCTCTACAAGATGAACGGAAGTGGGACGCAATGTTAAATGTATAGCATACCTATGACAGTTGGAGCCCATTATTTTCTCATTAATACTATCCATACATCTCTTATTCAAGACATAGATGGCTCTTTCTGATGTGACACTCTTCTCTTGCGGATGTGCTGGTGTGATATGTGATTTAAATCAGGTGTCGTGCTGAACCTTTGCACTTGTCTTTACCCCAGGTCAAATTTGTACATACAAAGCTATGAACCTGCCATATCTTTGTAGCCAACCCGACTCCACGAAACGATATCCCCTCGGGTATTCACTTTTAACGCAAATAATCTTTCCGTCCAGTTTGCATCGTATATACCAATAAGTAGAGATGTCACAACACCTAGCTGTTCCCTATGCATCCCAAATCCCGTTGTTGCTGGAAAGTATAGCAGCGGCACAGATGTAAGTGACCTTGTGTTACAATGGCCTCCCTTACGACAAGGAATGTTAGCGCTTCTCGATGAGACGCAGCAGCATCAAAAGTAAACAGCTAATCAATCATCTACTGCCCCTCCGTCTAAGCAGCAACTGAGTTTATTGCTTACTCGAAGCAAAAGCAGTATCAAATTTTGAAGTAGTAGGACACCGCAGTGTAATACTTCTCACTGCAACATCTGACCACCACCAGAGCTACAACCCCAACACCATTCATCTAAAGAAAACCATAATCTAGCACCACCCCCCAACCCCCAAACACAATCCGGATATATAAAACCAATAACAATCGAAATACGCATTTCAAACCAAAACACTCGACCCCCGCCGTTGCATGCCCTTCCACCTCGCCACGACATTGCCCCTCTCCTGCTGCGACGCCTGCTCCAAATCCCGCGCACCCTGGCGCAACCTGACGAGATACAATTCCGTCTGAAGCGGGGTGATTCTATGTTTGGATAGGGCGCACTCGATGCCTTTGAGCGTATAGCCTGGTAATCCCCATATGGCTGTTTTATAGCGAGAGCGAGAGAGACACTGATTTAGTAACTGGATTGCTTGATTGTATTTTAAAAAAAAAAGGGGGTGAAAACTTACCAGCTGAAGCGTGGCAGACGAAACCGCCAATGCCGCGTCCGATGCCTTTTGGCAGGCCCAGCGGACCGTCGAGTTTGGTGCCGAGATAGGGGTGTTTGATGAGTCCGGTGAATGCGTCGTAGAGGCCTAGTCGGAATTCCTGATGAGAAGGAGAAAGAGGGGACGTTGGTTAGCTTGCTGTGCGCTTTGCCCTCCCACCCCCCATTTTTTTTGGAGAACATGGTGGTTTACGTACTTTGCCTGCAACGGCTAGGCCGCTGGTTAGACCGACGATTTCATCGCGGTGTCGGTGGTGCTCGTTGGCGATGGAGCGGGAGGGGTAGTTGCGGAAGCCGTTGGCTACGTTGTAGAAGAGTGCCACGGGGGCTTTTTTTTTTGCTTTGGTTGGCAATTGTGACGCTGGAAGACATGATGGGGATATGTGAACGTTACCTTTCAGAGATGTCTTGGTTACGTCTCCTGCATAGTGGAGAGTTGCGCTGGTTATTTGGTAGGCTCGTCCATGCTCGGCTTCTTGGGCAACGAAGAGGGCACGAATCTTTGCTGTTTCTTGTGCATCTGGCGTTTTTTCAACGTCTTGCCAGTTGTCTTTCAAGGTTTTGGTTGCCATCATACTGGCCATACTGGCTAGCCAAATGGGATTTACGGGTAGGTCTTTACTTTCGTCGTCTAGCTCCTCTTTTTTCCGAGTATTGATCGCCCCTGTGGAGTTGATGACCTGTAACTTTGGTTTTTTCAGACGGTGGGAAAAGTCCGACGTGTTGATTGCAAGGTTGGTGAAGAAGCTGGAACCTGCAGCTACGGCGCCAATCAATGGTGTTTCCGCTCCTTCATGGACATCTTCGATTGTTAGCATGAATTAACGAGAGTTGCAAACGAGACTTACACCACTGTCTATGGCGGAGCCTACAATAAGTCAGCTTGTGAACATTTCTGGGCCCCAGCAACTGATCCAACACTTACAGTCGTAGATCATGTGGATCTATCAGTTTTTGTTTACAAAGAACACATGCAGCGAACCCGCTAAGATGGGCCCCCGATTTCTTATCCCTCCATACTGCTATGCGTTCCGGACAGATATGACACCTCATCTCATCTACCCTTAGTGCGCTCTCAAAATCCCGGACTGTCTCTGAGGCTCCATCCTCTTCTGCAATACAAGCAGCCATCTTCTTGACAGCAATGTTGACTTCGGGTCTCAATGCAAACTTGATGCTCTCGGCCAAGCCTTCCGGTGTGAGTTGTCTATAAGGAATAGGTTTCGGACCCGCGCCTGCTTTGGCAACCATTTGCCCCCAGAATGGCTGGTCTCCAAAGAACGGTACTATAACAGTAGGCTTTCCAAGTGCTATACCCGCTGCCGTTGTACCTGCGCCTCCATGATGAACCACGCAGGAGACGTGTTGGAAAAGCCAGTCCTTTTTTTTGTGTGAGCCTTTTTATCTAGAAACCCCAACTAACAGGTTCACTGTACTTACGTGAGGGCAATTCCCAATCATGTAGACATTCTCAGGCGCCTTGCCTGTGCCTATACCTCCCCATCCCTTCGAAACAATAGCACGAACTCCAGCTAGCTTGATGGCTTCGAATATGAGATTTGTCAGGTGCACAGGGTCATCTACGACGATCGATCCGAAGCCAATGTAGACTGGTGTAGGGCCTTTCTCAAGGAATGCAGTTAGATCGTCAGGTGGTGAGTAAGATGAACCAGCTTTCAGAAAAGAGAAGCCTGTTACGTTGAGGTGCTCAGGCCAATCTGATGGCTTAGGAATCAGGGCTTGTGACCAGAGATAGGAATGGGGGACTTTTAGCCTTCGAAGCAGCTGGAATCCCCAAAGTGGGCTTATCTATATAGTACGAAATAGTCAGCCAGAGCAAAGCTGTACACTGAGACGGGATTCATACGATATCAAGTTTCAATGTGCGAGTTCTGAATTTATTGATAAGATCCCCTAGTCTGGTACGGTTAGCAGCCTCTTATTGAAACTGTTATGAATGAGAGCCTACCCTTGCCAGGTCATCAATTCCATGATAGCAAAACTGACGAAGTTTGCTGTAGACTCATCTGCCTCACCATATTCCATGGCGGCTAACGGATGGTGGAAAGCTTTGGTTGGTGACCATGGCATGGTGAATACAATATGTAGAGGTATTCCTAGCCTTTCTGCACAGTGAATATGGCCCATGGACGGTGGGTTAGCAATGATGACATCCGCAATAAATAAGCTCTCAGTCTGTTCCACGTCCACTGCAGTGATCTTAGGTCCCATTCCGTCTCCAGCTTCGATACAGCTACGCCATGTGCCTTCGAGTATCGTTGCCATCTCTTTCCGCCTCTTGCTCACTTCGCCAGCCCTGATGCTTTCCATACCTGGAAGTAAGCCTGGGTTCTTCACCATGTACGCCATGAGAGCTTCTGGGTCACCCCCAATAGAAAAGAACTCGAGGCCATTGCTTTCCTTTGGCGAGTAAGTTCCCATGATGCTGTATGAATGAATGCGAGTAGGTTGTTTCCTTTACTTACCACGAAATCCTTGAAGGCTGGGTGCGTGCATATTCGTACACGGTGACAATATGGGGGTGCTTGAAGTAGTTTGGCAATTGGAATAAAAGGTTGCACATCTCCTCTAGAGCCGCAAATATGAATCGCAATGTTGAGTCTTGGTGAAGGTAGATCCGCTTGTTGGCTGTGAGAAGTGTAGGGTTGTGGTGTATTGGCTGCATCTTTCCTGCTCACTGAGTGGCGCTGTTGGTTTTTGAACCAGCGCTCAAGGCGTTTCGGAGTTTGATGAAAACGAACGGCAACTTGGCCGAGCCTGTTCACTCTGCCTGAAATATGTGACCTTGGATCGTGGAAGTTCCAACCTTCCGGGTGACCCGAGAAACAGCAAGACATGGTTGTGGAAGCATTAGGCGATAAAATACCGGTGATATAAGCGATGTCAGAGAGCCTGTGTAAAGAGAGTCCTTGGTTCGAGTGCTGTAATGTGGCGGCAGTTTGTATGACATATACGTTGGTGCAGGGAATGCATTCAGGTCCTCGTGTCAGCAAAGGTGGAAGCGCCGGATGGCCAACAGCACCAGGCAGCGAAAAGTGGCGGACGAATACATGCGAACGGCCATGTTGCTTGCGAGTCTAGCCCGTGCCAAACATGTCCTATATATCATCTCAGTTCTCGGATCGTTCGACTACTTGATCAATCCTTTCACGTGTGGCACACGTCACAAGGTAAGCCCAAATGCGAAAAAAGTGCGCGACTTGTAGGACAAGCGTCCGGAGGATAACAGATAATCGCCATCGCCTAGCACTCTTTCCTGTATCGACAGAAGGAATCTGGTGCTCATCTATGTATTTGCTTGCACGGGCAAATCGTGGGTGCAATGTAAAACTCAATTTCATGGTCTGTACGCTTTTGATGCAGACAAAGAATTCAAGCTGTCACCACTCGGGGACCAAGAGCTCCGATGTCAGATTCCCCGGTGACGAAGAAGAGCCCCCTCGGCCGAAAATTTGCGGTTATCGGAGAT